AGTGACGTCATAGACTCTCGTTAGCTTTTTTGTTTATTGCTATCCTTCACAGTTGGATCCTTTTCTTGGTGTCGGGTTAACCAACTAACTTTAGAAGGAATGATCCCTAAGCCAGTATTTATATATAACAGTCATAAGGACCTTTATTCAGATAGTTCCCATTTCTATCCATATATATAAGGACTGTTTAGTATTTGGGAAATATGCCTTAAATTATCTATTAGTCTTCTGCTCATTGCCTCCTTTCCTTGTGTGGGAATCAGCCAACATAATCCAGAGGGAATGTTATGCCTAAATTAGGAACAATTACAAGTATTGTTAGTAATTGTTAGTAAACTTACCTCTGGATTATGGGGTTTAGTTCCCCGCCTGTTCTTTTTGTCCTCCTCGCTAATCATGGCAGAAGAGTCTGTTATTCATAAAACTTGTGAGGTTTAAAAGGGCGCGCTCTTACGTCACGATTTAAGGGGGAGATAACTCTTTAAGGGGTAGGGCATACTACCAGGGGAACTATGACTTAGGGATCGTTTTTTCTTTTCCATTTTTTTCTGTATGTGTCTGTGGCAACCCCAGAAAAAAGGTAACCATAATCCAGAGGTAAGTTTACTAACAGTTACTAACAATACTTGTAATTGTTCCTTATCACAAACAGTGAAAACCAGGGTGCTTTAGCTCTTGCTGGGAACCCACTACATCTTAAGAGATCTAAACATATTGATGTCAGATATCACTTTATCAGATGAGAAGTTGTCAATGGTAGGGTAAAGTTGTTTTATATTCCATCACAAGAGAACATTGCTGCTATGTTTACCAAGTTAGTCAGCAAGGTCCAACTGAAAAAAATTGTCAGTAGTCTTATGGGCTAGATCGAGAGAAAATTGTTTGATCCAGAGATGTTAGTAGAAGAGTTAGAAAGTGAAACTGTACATGAACAATTTATTTAGATTTTGAATTATTTGTCAGTATGCTTAAAGAACTTTAGTTTATTGTGTCAGTTTGAAAATTATGAGTCTTATAAAGACTTGAATTTTGAGAATTCTATTAATACTGCATTTAACTTTTGTTTAAAGAAAGGTATAAATCCTGAACTATTTTAAGTTCAAGTGGGGGTGTTAATGTTGTTGCTGTAAGTGAACGTAAAATATTTTGTTTCTTTTTTAGTATCACTTTCTGTTTGTAGTACCTGTGTGAAATGTGTTTTAACCGGATGTCTGTAAATTATGAGCAGTTTATTTGGATATTGTTATCCCCCGCAACGCGTTTTGCGGGGGGTATTAAAATGGACTCCGTCTGTGCGTCCGTCCGTCCATGCACATTTGTCTTTTCCGGGGCAGAACTCTAAAATCATTCAATATTTCTTCACCAAACTTGGCACATACATTGATCTGGTGGTGTACTGGTGCCCTTTGGCAGTTTTGGAATTCTGAATAAAATATTTTTGGCGTTTCCATGGCAACAAGTTCGACTTAGACTGAAATTAGTGGTAGTGCTCTTTTCCGGAGCAGAACTCTAAAAGCATTCAATATTTCTTCACCAAACTTGGCACATACATAGATCTGGTGGTGTACTGGTGCCTTTTGGTAGTTTTGGAATTCTGAATAAAATATTTTTGGCGTTTCTATGGCAACAAGTTCGACTTAGACTGAAATTGGTGGTTGTGCTCTTTTCCGGAGCAGAACTCTAAAACCGTTAACTATTTCTTCACCAAACTTGGCACATAGATTGGTCTGGTGGTGTACTGGTGCCTTTTGGTAGTTTTGGAATTCTGATTAAAATATTTTTGGCATTTCCAGGGCAACAAGTTTGGCTTAGACTGAAATTGGTGCTTGTGCTCTTTTCCGGAGCAGAACTCTAAAACCGTTCACTATTTCTTCACCAAACTTGGCACATAGATTGGTCTGGTGGTGTACTGGTACCTTTTGGTAGTTTTGGAATTCTGATTAAAATATTTTTGGCGTTTCCATGGCAACAAGTTTGACTGAGACTGAAATTGGTGATAGTGCTCCTTTCAATGCTCTCCTTCCACTTTTCTATATACACACCTAAATATTTGACATAATCATAACTCGTAGACATAATCATGAAGAGTATTTTGCCATTGCGGGGGATATTGATGACTTTGTCTTCTTGTTTGAACTTTGTTTTACTTTTACGTTCTTTTCAAATCATCGACCACTACCTCAATGTCAGTGGCTTAGCATTTACAATGTTCTTGTGACATGCTCCAATTGAAGTATGTTATGTTCGGGTTTTTTATCATAAACTTGGGCAGTAGTAAGTTTGTTTCTATCATGTAGTTGACATTATGTAACTTAATTTTGAAGCGATATGTGGATGGCTGGGCTTGTCTTCACTGGGACACTCATGGAGTTTGTTTTAGTTGCAGAAAACTTCAAATTTTCCATTTCATTATTTCTCAAATCATGTGAAGGCACTATAATTTCTTCTGCAGAACGGTGTCAACATTATGCAGTGACCAGCCTTTAGTCCTGATTTAAACCCAATTGAACATCTTTGGGATGAAATTCAGAGGAGACTGAATAATGTCATACCAAGGCCGAACACTGCTGATTTATTGCGCAAGGCCTTTCTGAGGAGTGTGATTCCAAGTGCCAATGGCCTTCATCAATCGATTCTTGCACTCCATGCATAGACACTGTGCTGTAGTTATTGTCGCTAGTGGTGGTCACACCAGATACTGAAGTCAAGAGTCTGAATGGAGTGCAAACATTCACGTAATGTCTTGGAATTGTGCTGAGTTATTCATTGATGTGTCAAGATATTGTACACAAGAAATGTTTTTGATCCGCTTATTATGTCCATTTCTGTAATGATTTGATTACTGTGCCTATCTAATTTTCAATTAGTGCTGACGTTTCTGTTCGTACAGACGAGGGAGCAAAATCCTGACTGCAGAAAAGTTACATGTTGGAAAAGAAACCCCAAACAACAAGCTAGATTAGACTTTTTACTTATAACACAAGATTTATTTAAAAACTATTGCCATTATTCCAGGTTATAAATCAGATCATTCCCCGGTTACTTTCTCTTTCTCAAATGCTTATAGTAAAGAAAGGGGACGGGTTATTGGAAATTTAACACCTCATTGTTACGCAATGAAGAGTATATTAAACTTGTCAAGGATACTTTAATAGAAACATTATATGAATATGCAGACAGAACACATGCTGAGGAAGACACTGACACCCTTATTGAATATGGAACCTTGCAACTGAAAATTTCTGACTTTATTTTTAGAGACTTTCCTAATAAACTGGAGAGGGAAAACCATTTCTTATTCTTCTTTGTTGAAGAAAGATAAAACTAAGAAAATACAACAATTGGAAAAAAATATAAAAGATCTAGAAGAAAATATTAGAAACGATTTCCAAAGTATTAATGAAAAACTATTATCTGAGCTATCAACAATGAAAATCAATTGCAACAATACCATGAAGAGGAAATCCGAGGAATCCAAATCAGAAAGAGATTAACATAGTACAAAGAAGGCAAGAAACCAACTAGTTACTTTTGCCATCTCGAACATAGACGTTATACTAGCCAACTGATAAATAGTATAAGGAAAGAACATGGAGAAATTATCATAGATGAAAAATCATTTTAGACTGTCCTCAAACAACCAAGTAGTAATCACATTTTACTACTTGCTAAAAGATTAATCCATACTTAAAGCCTTAAAGAGCAATATATATCCTTTGCAAGATTTCTCATGTTGCTTAAGGACATACGCTATATCGAAAGGTTTATTGCAATGAAATATAATAAATTTAGTTGTTTTACTAAGAAATAGCACCATTTAAATCAGTGTATGAAATAAGCCAAAACTCCAGCCAGACATCAGGGCTGGTAACTTCAAAATGTTACCAGCCCAAAATGGATTTAACCAGGCCAAATATGGTGAATTTACTCAAATGTATGGACGATAAAAAATTTTTACCAGACCATCCGGCTGGCTAGCTGTAAATTTACACCGTCCGTCAGAAATCTAGACCATCTTGGGCGGTCGGACGGGCCTTATTTCATACACTGCTTAAATACGGTACTCTGACATTTTAAATTGGCACACATGCAATTTGACTTATTGTCCCCCGCCGCAACGCCGCAACGCAGAACGGGGGACTATGTATTCAGCGGCGTCCGTACATACGTCCCGATTCTTGTTAACGCGATATCTCATGAACTGTTGTACCCAATGTCTTCAAATTTGGTGACAGCCTACATTGGGGGATTACGTAGACACCAGTCGATTTGGGTGACCTTGACCTTATTTTCAAGGTCACCACGACACTTTGACCACTTTTCAAACTCTTGTTAACTCGATATCTCATGGACTGTTGTACCCAATGTCTTCAAATTTGGTGACAGCCTACATTGGGGGATTACACAGACACTGCTTTATTTGGGTGACCTTGACCTTACCTTCAAGGTCACCATGACACTTTGACCGCTTTTCAAACTTATTTAAACGCGATATCTCATAAAACATTGCACCCAATGTTTCCAATCATGTTGACAGCCTACATTGGGTGATAATGCAGACACCAGTCTTTTCAGGCATCTCTTATGTAACCAAAAATTAAAAAGTAGTAAATATAGATATTCCATTCTTTAGCGGCGGGACACATTGCCATATCAGTGGCAAACACTTGTTCAAACTATTATGTCCACTACAGTTATAACATTTTCATCTAGCTCCTATTTATCTATATATGTACACCCTCATGTGTATAATTTTGTACTAACTTGATGATGTAACTACCAACACATGTCACTCTTCTGTCTGTACATGCAATTTAAAATGGAATAAAAAAAATATAAATAAATATGACCAGTGTATTCCGCCATTTGTACCAGGATAACTCATGTTCGTTGTGTCTGATGACCACAAGTAATAACATTCTCTCCCTTAACCACTCTATTTGCCCAATGTCTTCCTCAGCGTGTCAACCTAATTATGTGTGATTTATTTGTGTTTTCAGTTTCTTTATGCATTCTCAATCAAGCCACTGTCCTACTTGGGAAGTGAGGAACTAGGTAAACAACCACTTGATGCCACAGAATCACCATACACACCACTTTCTACACCAGGAAGCAGCCAGGATAATCTAAATCAGGTACTGGCTAAATTGATTTAGTTTGATAAATCTTCACACAGTCTTATTTGCATATAGAGGTCAGCTTAGTGGTGATACAATATGGGATTTATAAGTTGAAAATATATTTTCTATATTTTTCCTGGTAGAACTTTGAACTTGGTGTTCACAATAACTTGAGCATTTATGATTAATATCAAGGGAAGCTGCTTAATGTGTTTGCTTGAATTTGTGCTCCACCAGCACCCTATTTGACATCCTCAGCAATGCGTGATTCTTATGAATATGTCCCTCCAACACTTGATTGCCTTATTTCCTGAAACTTGTTTCTGATCCACAGGTTCAGCCATGGTCTTGTGTTGTCTTTCTTCTTAGTGGTCGACCCAATTGCTAACAATTGGAGTTATCTCTCTGAACATGAATGCGTGTTCTTTGATAACATGTGCTTAATTTTCTGAAGTTTGTCCTTTCCATTTTGATATTAATATGTGTAAACCTAAAGGCAACAAATATATCTCAGCCTCCCTTTTGAGTACTAAAACGTTTTCACATAGGGGTAAGTTGTCTCCACAATGTCACCTCTGCCAAGAACATTTGCCTACAGTCTCAAGAAGTATGTGTTGGCAATAAAGAAAGGCCAGGAGAAGAAAGTGTGCTTAACCCCCTTATTCCTGTTCGGAATGCACGGAGTACAGTCATCATAAAGCACAGCCAGGTTATGATTACAGCTTGAGCAGCACACTATGCATGGGTAGCATGAACCTTACAGACAGTTTGGTTCGAGATACCAGTAGCCCTGCATTGTATGAAACAGCAGATCATAGATAAGACGTCTTAAAGGAAACAGAACTGGCATTTTAGTGTTGTCTATGGAATTCAGCCAGATATGCTTTTGCCAATGATAAGTTAGCTGTCCTTGATGTCTTATTTCTGGAATCCATGCCGCGAATGTAAGACCAAGAAGAATTTGTGGCAGAGGTACAAAGGCTGGATGCTACCATTTTCAAGATTAAACAAAAGCTCAAGCTTCCACAGTCAAATAAATTAAATTGAGGCTTGTGTAAAGCATATGTCTGAGTTTCAAGAAAGTTGTCTCCTGTGCTTTACGGACACATGGGTGACAGAGACTAGACAACACAAATTTGGAACTCAGTGGATTCGGATTGCCGATTCAGCTGTATAGAGATGCGGCAAGTACCGGGAAGCATGTTGGAGGAGGTGTGTGTGTTTATGTAAATGAACGCTTGTGCCAGCAGCACGTTGTTCGAGGATCTCTATCTCTCTGCATTTCACTCAGGTCATATTATCTTCCTAAAGAATTTGGACAAGTTTTTGTGACCACTGTATATGTTCCGCCGGATGCCAATGTGAAACTAGCGGCTGACACTATTCACACCACTATGGACAAACTTAATGATTTTTCACCAGAGGCACCAATATTCATACTCAGAGATTTCAATGCAGGTGACTTAAAACATGTTCTGCCATCATACCATCAGTATGTGAAGTGTCCGACAAGATCTAGAAAAACTATTGACTTGTGCTATGGTAATGTGAAAGACACCTACAAATCTTCTGCAGAGGTGCCGATGGGGACTTCTGATCACAATACTGTTTATTTAGTTCCTTTGTATTGTCAAAAATTAAAGTCAGAGAAGCCAGTCTTAAAATATGTAAAGTCAAGGACAAAAGATTGTTGAGAGCAGTTGAGATAATGTTTTGATTGTACAATATGTTTGAACATACTAGTGATAATTTGAATATGTTTACAAATACTTTAACTGATCATATAAATGTCTGTGTAGAAAACATTGTGCCAGTCAAATGTATTAAAATATTTCCTAATAACAAGCCTTGGATAACTAACTAAAGAGTTCAAATCAGTTTTAAATGAAAAGAAAAAGGCTTTTTGTGCAGGGGACAAGGTCAAGGTTAAAGACATTCAGAAAGAGATCGCTTGTTTAACAAGGAAGTGTAACGATGAATGCAAAACAAAAATTGAAAGACAGTTTTCTGTAAACAATTTACGTAATGCATGGAGTGACATAGAAACTATCATTGGATCAACTATTAGACCTCAACAGTTGGAATCCAGCGAGGACTTATCTTTTCAAATGAGTTGAACTCCTTCTACTCCCGATTTGATACTGAAAATCTTTCAGATGAAAGTAAACTTGTATTGGAATTGCTTCCAGCTTGTGCAATGTTAAATATATCGACAGATGATGTGATTTGCTGAGATAAATCTTCATGCATGGTGTGGGCCTGATAACTTCTTTGGGGATTGTTCTTAAGTAATGTAGAGTGCAACTGGCTGTTATTTTTCAAAAGTTATTTCAGATATCAATTAATTCGCATAATGTTCCCACTTTCTGGAAAATCTCTAAAATTGTTCTATTGCCAAAACAAGAAAAATCCCTCTGTTAAAGGGACACTGATCCAGGGCAATTTTAGTGGACAGGTTGTTGCTTTTGTTATTGTTTTTCTCCCGTGAATACCCGGATGATATCCCACAATTCTTGACTGGTCCGTGACCTCTGTTGCACCACCCACATGCGCAATTGATAGTAAATATAGATTGATCAGCAAAGATGAAATTGTTTTACTTGTATTTCAATCTTCATTATTATGATAACAAATGAAAACATTTGTATAAACAACTCATTCCCTATCTACTGTAACAACAACTCCTCTATATATTCTCTCAATTTGTTACTCATGTATCACTTGCTTGACAACGACATTAGAACCTATGTCGAAACGTCGCCTCCACAGAATAAAAGAAGTTGTATATCCATAATATCCGGCATCTGATGGGCATCCACCCTTCCTAATGTCTGATGAAGAAAGTCTGCCAAGGTGGACAGTAGCCCAGTCCCCGTGTTCGTCATGGTTGAGGACAGGTACCGGCCAGTTTGCAGCTTGGTTTCGTAATTAGACTGTTGGTGAGAAACATTGATCGCTCTGCATCAGTGCCCCTTTAATAATGACTTCAGACCAGTGGCCCTAACCTCTATTACCATGAAATGTTTAAAACGCATTGTTAAGACCTTATTGTTGAAGAAGTCAGCCATGTTCTTGACCCATTACAATTTGCATACTGAGCAAGGCGTGGGGTAGAAGATGCAACATTCACTCTGTTAATAAATATTTATAAGCATTTAGAAAACTATGGTACTTATGTGAGAATATTCATGTTTGTTGAATTTTCATATGCCTTGAATACTATTCAGCCTCATTTGTTAATTGATAAACTTTTCAGAATGAAAGTTAATTCTAACATCATCAAATGGATTAATTCATTTCTAGTTAACAGACAACAAATTGTCCAGGTTATTAATGTGAAATCATCAATTGTAAACACATCGACTGGCGCTCCACAAGGTTGCGTTATTTCACCAATTTTGTTTATATTGTACAACAATGACAGTGTATCCAACACAGAAACATGTTTTACAGTTAAATTCGCTGATGATGCTGCATTGGTAGGCCTTGTTAGGGAATCACACAAGAAAAAAAAATGGTGATTTCCAAAAATTTCCAATTTGGAAATATCATATTTCCCAAAAATTTCCAAATTTGGAAAGATGATGTTTCCAAGGCTTGGAAATATTTGGAAATTTAGGAAGGATTTTACCACTACTTTTTCAATTTCTCTTTTTTCCAAAGGATCCCCGGCCCATGAGTGTATAGACTGAACTATTTCACGAATCTTTTGATCTTTGAGTTCTTATTGTTGATATTCATAATGTATCTTGCATGTGACATATTTATTCGTGAAAACTGCAGGAATAAGCCATATTTTCATATTATCCCTTTGTGCTTGATATCAATGCTACTGCGTCTCACGCGTGAAGTGATACATTTTTTAAAGTTGGGATTATGTTTAGAGTAAGTGTTTACTATTCGCCGTCTTATGCGACCAGCTAGGAACCAATTCTATATATTAGTTTAACTTCACTCATCTGCAGTCTTCGTGTTCTATGTGTCAAAAATTGATATTGACTGTTCTATTTATCGCTAGTATTTTCAAAAGTCAGTTTCAAGTGTATGTTTTAGTTGTTATCCACAAAAGCCCAAATATGTTTAATTTTTTTCCCCACTCAATGTTCGTATGAATACAAATTCCATACACCTATGCTATATGGACTATATAACAGTGTACCAGATATACTGACTGACTGAGTGTATTACATGCCATAAAAGTGAACCCGTGCCATGGCGTAATGGGGTATTCCCGTGAAGTAGGATTTTGTTATTACAGTATAATCTCGCTCATGTTAAGGTCCGGTGTTGTTATCACGGGCTTAAGACACTGGGTGCTATAAAATTCTGAACTTGTTTTGAAATATGATCGAATTTACTGAGTTAATTTACTGAGTTTAGCTCACTGAGATTATACTGATACTGATTCATGTGTTCACTCAACGTCTGACGGGGATGATACGTTTTAGGTCTCGCCAAAGTTATTGATTAATCTACTAATCTACCAATATCTAACAAAGTGCTAGAGTTTGGGGTGACCTTCGTAGGGTCAGTAATAAGCTGAAATAGGTCATACATGATTTGAAAATTATGTATCTTATTATTACTTGGGGTGTTGGCATGGCAGATTTATAAAGATCGTTGAAAAGGCCCTCCAAATGATAGTTGAGATATATTTCACATGATATGTTTCATCTTGTGATGATTAATTGTGGCAACACCAAATATATTATGTCATGAAAATGTCAAATATCACTTTAGGCTTATTTCATTTCTTTACCCCTTCAACTTTTCGTATCAACCTTGTGCCTGTTAAAACATTAACTGGCCTTTGTTCGAGATGACCAGGTCTTGGAGGTAATCACCCTATGTTTTTACAATTCTGCTTCATGGGAACTGACCGTAGTAGAATACATTCTCCAATTAACACCTGTCAAAAGGGAGAGGCCATTTGAGTTTGTGCTCAATAACGGTATATGCAATTGGCGTATTCACGAAAATCTCATGAACGTGTCTATAGAAAATTGGTTGTGTTG